ACCCCCCACATGTCAACAGCCATCAAAGGCTTCTCGCCTCAGCACAAGATCACCAGCTTCGAGGAAGCCAAGGGTCTGGACCGCATCAATGAGAGGATGCCGCCGCGGCGAGATGCCTTGCCCCTGGACGCCAGCCTCAACTCGTTCAACAAGGCGCTGTCGTCGGAGTCCAATGGCACGGACGCCAAGGGGAGCGGCAGCGGCAGCGGCAGCAACATCCAGTGAAGGGCCGCTGGACGAAGGAGGCGCCATCTTTTTCGGCCGACGAGGCTGCCTGGCCCCGCCCCCCCTCAGCCTCATCACAGCCCACCGTGAAAAAGAAGAATGGGGGAGGGGCTAGAGTGTGGATGAGGGAGGCAAATATGGCTGAAACTGGGTGGGGGAAGGGGACATCTCACTTGCTAGTCTTTGGAAATGCCTTCATAATATTAGTTCATAGTCAAATCTGCTAAGTTATTTGCCAGGTCACGTTTCCGAGCGGTTCCGTCCGTTTGCCACACTCACACTTTGTCAGAAAGAAACAGGAAGGACAGACGTTTGCGTTAACAGACGTTTTTGTTTTCTTAAAATAAAATAAAAAAGACCCTCGCTTCACTTAACACCGAAAAGGTAAAGTCGTAAAACTTCTTACTAACTATCATACGTTTACAGAAACACAGCACTAAAAGGACAGAAGGTGAGATCATGTTTTTAAAGGGTGTACAAACTAAATAAGGACTATTTATTGATGACTTTGTTTTTTTTTTTTGCTACTCTTCTGAAATAGCTCTGAAATTAATTAGGCAGTCTTAAAAGGAATGTTGCAATGTTGTCGAAATGCCAAATAATGGAACGTTTTATGGTTTTGTACATATTCTGCTTACCTCAGGTTCTTTTGGTGTGTGCTTTGACCTGATTATTCTGTATAACGGTTAAATAACTGTAATGAATACCTATTTTCTTGAGTTTCATAACTGGAATTTACACTTGCCTATCTATCATTTGCAAATATGTTTATTTTATGTCTTTTTTTTAAAGAGGGGGATGGGGAGAGGTAGATTTTATTGTGGCTTGCTGGAATTGAGTGTTAATTTTTCTCTTAAGTATTGCGAACAAAGTAAAAAAAATAGAGATCTTATATTGTGTAAAAAAAGAAGAGTATATTAAAGTGTCTGCCTATGCATGTTTTATAAAAATCAAAGAAATTAGAAACTTTGGCTGTGAAGGCCTGTTTTGAGATATATTGCGCTTTAGTGAACATATACTGGAAACATATAGTTGCATACTTTAAATTAACACCACGATGCTCTATGCCTTCAACTCCTTTTGTAATTGAAGCATTTAATTATGGACGATGGATGAGAAATCTTATTTTTAACCTGCGCTTGTAAGTGCACACAGTCCAGTTAAGCATGTTTGACAATTCTTGTGAGGTGTGTGATTTACATGTGGAACTCCAAAATGCATGAATAGCTGTTTGTGTCATATACCAGGTGAATCGGTTTTAGTTTTTGTAAATGTGCCACAGAAAAGTGTAATTTGATTCCTATTATACCATTATTTGGAACTCTGCTTTGTATATCAGTTACAGGTTTGATACTGCTCAATACTTTAAGACGAAACGGGGGGAAAAAAAAACTTACTTTTTTAAAGAACTGCTTTAAGTGCCCAAGTAATTCACTACACGACATGAAGCCTTGCTTTTTGTAATTTAACTTCAAAACTTTTGGCAGATGAGGCATGCACTTGCAACTATGAGAAGTATTTTATATAACTGTTCAATAAAAATGTGCATGAATTTCAACTCGAAACGAAACTTTGCTTGTGGTGTTGTCCGTGTGACTCCAGCTGATTTACGATCGTACGTCCGGTGGAACGGCAGCGTTTGAAATAAAGGCAAAAAAATAAAAACATGCAGGTTCTTCCTTTTAAGGAAGATCACAGGAAGCACATTTTCAAACATTTATAAATCATAAAGCACAAGGAAATTAAAATCCATGAACAATAGAGATCAAAGAGTCAGAATATTCTACGTGCACCTCAGAGTTCAAGGCCAGAAAAACAAACAGTCAATCATTCATTGTGTCAAAAACTTTTTCTTATTTAAAATAAATAAATAAATTTTATTGTCATCTCCAAGCAAAAATATTTTTCCAGCTTTATGAGGATAAAGTTTTTCTTTGTAGTTTAGCTGCTTTCTTGTTTGGTTTCGGTCCAGAACTTGGCCTTTTTAGGGGAATATTTCCACTTGTTTCTGAAGCTGCCCTAATCTTTGAATAAAAACTAAAATTAAACTCCTGGGATGACCCGGTGTTTTGGAGGCACGACCAAGTTGGCAAATAAACCTTTATTTTCTGATCTCATGGCTGAAGTGTTAGCAGGCTAGCTACTAATGTTCACAGTATTTTAGATAGTAACTGCTAGTAACAACACTAATGTCTGGTAACCTAATTAGTAAAATGACTTCAATAAGTATTAATTTGGATTCTCAGCTATTAACTAGCATACTAGCTAGCTAGTACCTTTATTAGAAGCTTTTTAAAAAAAATTTAATTTATTTAGCTAAAAATTAAACTCTGAAAATACCAAAGATAATGGGTCATCTCCATGTTTCCCGGTGCATCTTCTGCACTGTAAGTATTATTTTCCATTTGTTTTAAAAGATATTTGAAGTGAACATGGGTACAAGGGAAAACAGGTACAGGGGAACATGGGTACACTGGTGCAGGGGAACACAGGTACAAGGGAACGTGGGTACATGGGAACATGGGTACAAGGGAACATGGGTACACGGGTACCGGGGAACACGGGTACATGGGAACAAGGGAAGAAGGGTACAGGGGGACATGGGAACATTGGAACAAGAGAACGGGAACATGAGTACAAGGGAACGTGTACAGGGGAGCACGGGTACATGGGAACAAGGGAAGATGGGTACAGGGGAACATGGGAACAAGGGGACATGGGAACATTGGAACAAGAGAACAGGAACATGAGTACAAGGGAACGTGTACAGGGGAACAGGGGTACATGGGAACATGAGTACATGGGAACATGGGTACCAGGGTAAAATTGGCATGGCCACAAAGATAACAAGTTTTAGCACCAACATGGTGTTTTCCAAAGAACACACTGTAAAAATGAAATGTTGGATTTACTTAACCATGTTATGTTACCTGGTTCCACTTAACTGAGTTGAGTAAATTCAAAGCAATATACCAGTTTTTTAGCCAAAGAACATGAGTATGTTGCTTTGAATTTACTCAACTCAGTTAAGTGGAACGGGGTCACATAACATGGTTAAGTAAATCCAACATTTCATTTTTAGAGTGCATGTAGATTAAAACTAGACATTAAAGGTGCAGTATGTAACTTTTCTAAAAATGTATTTTTTACATATTTGTTCATTCTGTCA